ACATGGTTAAAATGCGATGCAATGCGATATCGCATCGCATTTTGTCATATCGCGCGTGATATCGCAGCGATGCGATATCGCATCGCTACGATATTCTGTTTCGAAAATTGAAATCGCATATCGCTTTTTAGGGTGCGATGTTTTAAAATATCGCACCCATGAATGCGATATATCGCACGATGCGATTTAATATCGCATCACATTCAGGGGTCGGAGGAGAAAAGCAGAATGACAAGGCTGGCTTTCCTAGGTGCGCGAGGAATTAGGTGAGTGAAGTTTAACGGGAGAATGGGATATCGTAGCCCCTCTGATGTAAAGCGTGTTAGAGGGGAAGGGGTTGGATTCCGTAGATGTGGAGGGATGTAGTGCTGTTGAAGTGGTGGAAATTGGTTGGACTTCCAACCAATTGACTTAGTGGGGGTCGAGATTTCAATCAACCCCCTAAATCCCTTTAACCGCACACCACCACATTTCATCCACCACCGCCCAAGTCAAAATTTGAACCTCCAACCACCTCCCTTCCCTCAACCGCACTGCACTCCTTTTCAACTAGAATTTCCAACCCTTCCTCTCCAAGCTCCTCACAAACACCTCCCCGTCAATTACGCCAACCCCAAACAGCCGCGTGCAATTTCCGCACGCCAATACAACCAGAGAACCCTAATTTTTGCTAAGTTCAGGGACCGCACCCATGTTCCCCCCCCCTTTCTGGCACAATTCCGCAATGCTATATGCGGATGTATGGCGCGCGATATTTTAATATCGCATATCGCGTTATATCGCGCTGAAAAATCCGCGATAACTGCGCGATATCGCAAAAATCGCGCGATATTATAGCATCGCATTGCTGCGATTTTTTTCATTAAAAAAATATATATATATCGCAATCGCAAAATGCGATAAAATGCGATGCGATGTGATGTACCCATGTCTACTTGCACCCATTCTCTTATGCTCGCATGCTCCTATGTTCCTATGCTCCCATGCTCCCATGCTCCTAAGCTCCCTTGCTCTCGTGCTCCCGTGCTCCCTTGCTCCCATACTCCCATGCTCTCATGCTCTCAAGCTCCCATGCTCCCATGCTCTCATGCTCCCATGCTCCCATGCTCTAATGCTCCCATGCTCCCATGCTCCCATGCTCACGTGCTCCCATGCTCTCATGCTCCCATGCTCCCATGCTCCCATGCTCTCACGCTCTCGTGCTCCCATGCTCTCATGCACCCATGCTCCCATGCTCTCATGCTCCCATGCTCCCATGCTCTCATGCTCCCATGCTCCCATGCTTTCATTCTCCCATGCTCCCATGCTCTCATGCTCCCATGCTCCCTTGCTCTCATGCTCCCATGCTCCCAGGCTCCCATGATCCCATGCTCTCACGCTCCCACGCTCCCATGCTCTCATGCTCTCATGCTCCCATGCTTTTATGCTCCCATGCTCCCATGCTCATATGCTCCCATGCTCCCATGCTCCCTTGCTCCCATACTCTTATGCTCTCATGCTCACATGCTCCCATGCTCCCATGCTCTCACGCTCCCATGCTCCCATGCTCTCATGCTCCCATGCTCCCATGCTCCCATGCCCTCATGCTCCCATGCTCCCATGTTTTCATGCTCCCATGCTCCCATGCTCCCATGCTCCCATGCCCTTTTGCTCCCATCCTCTTATGCTCCCATGCTCTTATGCTCCCTTGCTCTGACGCTTTCATGCTCCCATGCTCCCTTGCTCCCATACTCTTATGCTCTCATGCTCCCATGCTCCCATGATCCCATGCTCTCACGCTCCCATGCTCCCATGCTCCCATGCTCCCATGCTCCCATGCTCTCATGCTCCCACGCTCCCATGTTTCATGCTCCCATGCTCCCATGCTCCCATGCCCTTATGCTCCCATCCTGTTATGCTCCCATGCTCTTATGCTCCCATGCTCCCATGCTCTCATGCTCTCGTGCTCCCATGCTCTCATGCTCCCATGCTCCCAGGCTCCCATGCTCCCATGCTCTCACGCTCTCGTGCTCCCATGCACTCATGCTCCCATGCTCCCATGCTCCCACGCTCTCATGCTCCCATGCTCCCACGCTTTTATGCTCCCATGCTCCCATGCTCTCATGCTCCCATGCTCCCTTGCTCTCATGCTCCCATGCTCCCAGGCTCCCATGATCCCATGCTCTCACGCTCCCACGCTCCCATGCTCCTACGCTGTCACGCTCTCGTGCTCCCATGCTCCAATGCTCCCGTGCTCAAATTCTCCCATGCTCCCATGCTCCCATGCTCTTATGCTCTCATGCTCACATGCTCCCATGCTCCCATGCTCTCACGCTCCCATGCTCCCATGCTCTCATGCTCCCATGCTCCCATGCCCTCATGCTCCCATGCTCCCATGTTTTCATGCTCCCATGCTCCCATGCTCCCATGCTCCCATGCCCTTATGCTCCCATCCTCTTATGCTCCCATGCTCGTATGCTCCCTTGCTCTGACGCTTTCATGCTCACATGCTCCCATGCTCTCATGCTCCCACGCTCCCATGTTTCATGCTCCCATGCTCCCATGCTCCCATGCTCCCATGCCCTTATGCTCCCATCCTCTCATGCTCCCATGGTCTTATGCTCCCTTGCTCTGATGCTTTCATGCTCTCATGCTCACATGCTCCCATGCTCCCATGCTCCCATGCTCACATGCTCCCATGCTCAAGGTGGAAAAATACGGTTTTCATACGGTCCGTTTTATACGGCAAAAAAAAAAAAAAACACATTTTTTCAATAGACATTTCAGGGAACTTAAAAAAAAAAATCAAAAAGCAAAAATCCTGCAAACACAGGTTGCAGCGTGGCTACGACGGTTTACTCAGGGCTAAAGGGACTAACAAACACTTCTACACGTACGAGTGTTGAATCTTTGTCCACCTCCTCCTCTGCCGCCTCTTACCCTGCACTATCACCCTCACCACCGTCTCAAAACATTAACAACACTCACAAATGAACTACCACGATGCATCCGAAAGTCATTACAATGTTATTGCAATAATTTTTCCCCAGGTTTTGGCTGGTTAGAAAAAACGACCGTATTATACGGCACCAAAAAATGCACCTTTGAACCGTTTTAAGCGGCCGAATAAAACGATTCCGTATTTTACGGTAAAAAAAATAGAATACGACCGTTTTTTTGCACCTTGCTCCCATACTCTTAAGCTCGCATGCTCCCATGCTCCCATGCTCCCATGCTCCCATGCTCCCATGCTCTCATGCTCTCATGCTCCCATGCTCTCGTGCTCTTTTGCGTTTGAGCTGACAGATGTGGTAGAACCTCCATTGCACTCTGTTGGGGGCTCTGGATACCTGGAAAGAGGATTATGTAGAAATAATATGGCATGAGAGAAATTAGAACAGAGAGACACTCTGGCGGAATGCAAGGGGTCAAACCGGGCAGCTTGATGTCATAGCAGAAGGCAGTGATCTGACAGCAGTGGCGTGCATCAATCAAACATCGCTGCCCAGATTTCACGCCTTTAGCACCACCTCTTCACTGACCGGCAAACGGATGCTAAGGGGCAGTGGTGGACAGGCAGGGATGGAGGATGTAGGGAGATTGAACCAGGAGTGAAGAAACGAGTGAAGAGTGGCGAGTGTGGGTAGCTTATGAGGCGATGAGCATGCAGGGAGAGGAGAGGGTCGTAGGGCGTACGGCTTAGAATTATGGTCTAGAGATTTAATGATGTATGGCAAATGAACGCCCCTCTAGCTGATTCGAGGGCGATCAACGAAATGCATCAAGCCTGGAAACCCGAGTCTGCGATGGAGAGGGCGAAACTCCAATTGGCCGGTGCACGAGTTGGCCAATGAATCTGCAAAGCATTGGAAACGCAATGCATCTGACTCTCTTTTCGACATGGAAAACTTTAGGGAAAGCACGTGGGGATTTCGTTTGGTCTCAGCCATGGTTCGAAACCTGACACGTGCGGAAAAATACGTTTTGCTGGCCAAACCAGCGATAACGCGTTACACACGCGCGGAACATCCTGGAAATAGTAGACGCGCGTTCCCTCCGCGTTACTCACAGGGTGACGGGCATTGGTTTGCGGCGAGGGCCCAATTCTGGAACTGGGTTCCGTCACCGTTGTACGCCAGTTCCGTTTGTGCATGGAACCCCGAGTTTCGAAACTTGCATTCGCAATCTGTCCGCGGATTGAACTTCGGCTTCCGAAACTTGAAGCTCCAACGTTCAAAAGATTGATCGAAAAGCGAACCCCCCCCCCCCCCGCGAAATGATGAAGACAACGACTTCGCATCCAATGAAAAACACGAACCATTTGTCCAGTGTCACTTTCTTGCCCCTCGAATGGTCAGGCATCGTCGTAATGTTTCATTCTTTTCATGGGAGTAGCGTGGGCTTTTCACTCAGAACTGGCAGGAGAGTTTCGAATGGACCTCCTGAGTCCGGACTACTGCTGGAGACCCAAATGGGGTCGTGTGCTATGTTCATGAGTCCTGACGAACTAACCTCGTGGCATGGCGTTCTGTGAAGAGAACCTCACGAATCACCCTAGCTACTTGGACAATTTCAGGACTTAGCCAAGTAGCAATGTCAAGATCGCCTCAAACATTGGAGGAAGTGACCGACACGACCTCCTGCATGGTTACTGCTTTGAGAGCTCAGAAGGATTCTGGGTAAACGTTCCTTGAATCCAGAATATTCGGAGTAATTCTGGACCCATTCCGAAACTCCCTAGGGCCTAGCGTAAGCCGTGTCCAAGAGCCTAGGCCTTTCTCTTGCTTCCCACCAGACCAGAACGAGAGATATTGGCGATAATTGACAACAGCGTCGCGTGGAACTTCTCTCTTCTCCGGAACATACTCTAGCGCGTACACCCTCGCCCCACGGGGTTCTCTCGATTGGGAATCCCTGGGAGTTCTCAATGTCGGTCCTACCCTGTCGACCTCGAGGTTAGACTCAGCTTTTCCCGCGCCTCTCCAGGTCCTAGTTGCCGCTCCGACATTCGCCTCAAAGTTTCCGCCATGGATTTCCCATCGACTCGAAGCACACAGAGCCTGCCATCATGCGCGTCGTGCCGCCATGGCCCGAATCACATCGGGACTGCCTCCTCGCTTCGTTTGCCTCGCCTCGATCCCGTTCCTCCCTCTCCTAACTGTTCCACCACCGAGCCTTTCCTCGGCATCAAAGCTTCCTCCTCGCACTGCTTTATGGCATTACATATTCTCCCTTCTTCTCCGGCCGGACATATCAGTAGCGTCTGCAGTCCACTTCGTTGATTTCCTCTTTGGATCCGTCGCGGTTCGAATCAAGTTAAACCAAGGCGCCATGGCTTCCGTCGCCGAGGATAATGCTGTCGTCACTGATCACTGCCCCATTGCTTCTCTTCCCGACGATCTGCTTGTCGACGTCTTTCACTGCCTTGTGCCAATTTCCCACCTTTCATCCGCCTCTTCTAACCAGCAGAACCCGCCTACAGCATCGTCATCAGCGACGTCGTCCAACACCTCCTCCCCCTCGCAAGCCTCTTTCCCGTTCGTGTCTCGTCGCTGGCTTCGACTCGCATATGTTGCGACCACGTCTTTCCGCCTGACACGTCGTCCGGGAATCTCAGCCTCACAGCTCCTCTGCGCCGTTAGCCGCATGCCAAGGCTTGAGTCTCTCTGCATCGATTTCTTTGGAGCAGATCCTGTGACTGACGACCTCGTTGCGCAGGTCGCGGCCGCTTGTCGACCGCTTCTGCGGTTTTCGCTGCTCTCCGGCCTGCGTGGTGATCGAATTGGCGAGGATGATCGTGTCTGGACGTCCCTAGCGCTCGAGGCGGTGTTCCAAGGTTGCACACATCTGAAGGAGCTCGTGCTCGAATGCCCGCCCGCCATCACAGAGTTTCCTTCCAGTGTCACAAACCTGGCTGGACTCGTACGTCTCATCATTTCTTCAAACGGCAGCAGTTTTAGCCTTCCTACATACATCGGCAACCTTCGTGCTCTGAGGGTCCTCCACTTGGGAGTTCGTCGCCTCACCGAGCTGCCGGAAAGCCTTGGCGACCTCTGCAATCTGCAGGAGCTGAAGCTCAACGGCTGCTCCGATCTGTCATCAATACCCGAGACAGTCGGGCGACTCTTGAAGCTACGTGTCTTTCATGCCCAGGGTTGTGACAACCTTTCCTCCCTCCCTGACGCTCTTTTCAGCTGCGCGTCATTGGAATCACTGGCGATCTACCTGCGAAACCTGGCCAGCCTGCCGGAGAGTATTGGGCAGCTGCACAGCCTTCGGCACCTCATTGTGTGCAACAGCGTCACGGCTCTAGAGCTTCCTGCATGCTTCACGCAGCTGTACTCCCTCGAGAAGCTGACTCTGGGTTCAAGACTTCAGCAGCTGCCGGAAGGCTTTGTGAATCTGACTGGTCTTCGGCGCCTGGAGCTGTGTCGTTGCCCTCGGCTCACTCTGCCGTTCTCTCTGCCGCAGCTGTCGCTCCTTGAAGCCCTTGTGCTCTCTGGATGCTCTGAGATGCTTTCTCTGCCGGAGACCATCGGCCAGCTGCCAGCACTCAGGGAGCTGAGTCTCTCCCGCTTCAGTAAACTCCAGAGCCTTCCAGATTCCATTGGGCAGCTACAGCAGCTTCGATATCTAACACTTGTGCACTGTAAGTCGCTGCTCATGCTGCCGGAGTCCCTGGTGCATCTCAGTGCCTTGGAAAAACTCGGGTGTTTCAATTGCACTGAGCTCTCCTCCCTCCCCGAAGGCATCCACCTCCTGACAAGCCTTCGATGGCTGACACTCAGCAACTGTCCAAAAATCCAAAAGCTGCCTGCCAGCATCTCTCATTGCCATTCCCTCAAAAGAGTTTCTATTCAAGGTTGCCATGCACTCACACACGTACCTGAGGAGATTCGGAGCATCGTTATAATGTTGTGCTGAGGCAAAGGGGTTGGGTGGGGATTGGTGGTAGGGCAGAGGGGACCAGAAACGGTTGAGCAAGTGGGTGTCGGGTTACAGACGTTTTTTTCAGAACGGGTGCTCCAGTAGATGGTGCTGTAACTTGGGTGTACTTAGTAACTTGGGTGTAGCTAAACCCTGCTGCCACTCTATGGCCGCCTTCCTACCTTCCTAGCCTAGGTCCTAAGATAACACCGCAGCATCATGTCTGGGGTAGGTGGCAGCATGGGAGTCATGGCATAAGCGTCTCAACGGGTTCACCACTAAGAGCACGCACAATGTTGCCAGGCGTTGTCAGGTTGAACACCACCACTGCAGAGGGACAGTGGTGGGGGGGGGAGACGGGGCAGGAGCAAAGGTTGGCAATAGCAATGAGTTAATTGGATAGCAGTGCAAGGAAGTGAGAGCCAAGGCACATGTAGCAGGCGGAGACAGAGAAGAGGGAGAGAGGAGAGAGAGAGAGAGAGAGAGAGAGAGAGAGAGAGAGAGAGAGAGAGAGAGAGAGAGAGAGAGAGAGAGAGAGAGAGAGAGAGAGAGGGAGAGAGAGAGGGAGAGAGGGAGAGAGGGAGAGAGGGAGAGAGAGAGAGTGAGCGGAGGGTTGGGGTAGGGGGTTGAGGGAGACACGGAGGAGAGACTGAGAGCTAGAGAGCGCAGCAAGACAAAGAGCCAGTATCGACTGCCGCCAGGCATGCTCTGCAGGTGGTGTTGACAATGCAGGGTGGTGGCAATCCCTACCGGGCAGCCTCTTTTTGTGGCACAGCGTGATGGCGGTGGGGTCCATGACTTCGAGCTGCTGCAGCGTGACGTCGCGGTGCGACAGCAGCGGCAGCAGGCGCGCCTGAGAGTTGCTGCGAGGGTCTGAGTCAAACACGCCATCCACCCCCATGGCCTTCAGCACCACCTCCGCATCGACTGAGACAGAGGGAAAGGGGGAGGTAAGGAGGAGTGACGTTAGGGGCAGCATCGTGGAACGCCATGTGCAAAGGAGGGACATGCACGCAGGGGCAGTAGACGACTCTGATGATGTTCGTGACCGTCAGAAATCTTCGGAAAAAGAGTGGGGGGTGATGGGGGTGGGGGTGGAGTTGGGGGTGGGGGAGAGGGGGGGAAGAGGCAGTGAGGGGGACACGCACGATGCAGGCGGCATGAATGGAAGCAGCTTTAAACACTCCGTCCACACCAAATGCCTTCATCCTCCTATTTATCCGTCCACTCGCCCTCAGCAGCTCTGAGCGCGGCTACAGTGTTGATGGTGAAGGGAGTAGATCTTCCCCTCTCGTCCTCCTCTTCTTGCTCTCCCTTGACTAGCCTTCCCCCCTTTCGCCCTCTCAGCTCGCTCCTGGGGATGCACTGGGTGGCAGCAATATGCCGTTCATTGGAGTCGCTATGCTGCGCGCGTGGGGGGGAGAGAGAGGGGGGGGGAGGGGTTGGAGGAGGCGACGGAAGGAAAGGAGAGGAGGATGAGGAGAAGAGGATGAGGATGGTAACAGAATACGAGGGCTCGGTTCGGAGGTAAGCTGAGGGAGAAGCTGGTCGGCTGGGAAGGCGGCAATGGCTATGAGGGAGGCAGCGGGATGGAGAGACGCGCGAACTGCCTCATGGGCTGCTTACACCGTTCTGGCGTAATCTTCCCCGCACATTCACTTGCACCGTCCCTCTCCCTCTCCCTCCCCCTATCGCGCTTACTTCTAGCCAGCCAATGCGACCAGCGGATGTCATTGAGGAGCCTCAGTAGTTGGCCTCATGATTTTGGCGGCACCAAAGACCTGCTGGCTGGCACCACGCCGCAACATTGGCTTGTGCGTTGCAGACATGTGCGTTTAGAGATCCCTGACTGGTGGAGAGAGAAACAGAGAGGGGGAAAGGGGAAGCGGAAAGTGAAAGGGATGCAAGAGGGAGTCGAGGAAGGTGAAGGAGGGGGGAGAGCAGCTTCAAAAGGCAAGCGGACTGTGCTGGAGGACAGATAGAAAGCGCCTCAGAAAGCACCTCAGAAGGGGAGAAACAAGAAAAGGGAGGTGATGGGAGAGTGCGACGAGGAGAGGTGAAGAGCATACGGGAAAACCGCAGCCTAAGGGCCTGGTGCTTTGAGTTTGTTTGGCGTTTTTTCGTATTCTTAGTTCGAATTTCGTGAATTTCTGGAAGCGGCATAATATCGAACCAAGACATTTGAACTACAAGGAGGGTGACAGAAACGGAGTACGTGAGCATCGCAAATCCGAGGCTTCGCGAATTTTGCGAAAGTCAAGTCGTCGCAGTTGTGAGATAGGGTGCTCGAAACACAAGGGGGGCACGTGTTGACTGCTGGTTGACCTCTCAGGTCAAGGGGGTGTGGGGTTCTTGGCGGCAGTGGTAACGACGTACACTTTCTTTCAGTCTCGCGAATTTCGCGAATCGGACTTTAGGAGGTTTGGCGGGATGTTTCGTACGGCGTGGAATGTGCTGTCCGAATGGGCGCGTTCGAACCGCCTTCGCGCCAATTTTGTTTCGAATTTCGGGGTGGTGCTCTGACACCCTCGCGAAACTGGCGAACACCCTTCGCGATTAATGCAACCACTCCGTAGTTTGAAACTTGCCAAACAACCAAATTCAAAGCACCACGCCCTAAGGAATTGAAAAGCTGAGAGAAGAAAAGGAGTGTGAGGAGACGAGGGCGGACGGGAGAGGGGAGGAGACATCATAAGTGAATTGGACGATAAGAGACACGGGGAGCGAAGAAGAAAGGGAGGCAGAGCAGCTAGGGTGGAGAGAGTTTGGAGAGGATGGGTGCGGGGCAGGGATGGGTGTAAGGGCGACAATGCTCACATGGCGACGCCGCACCCGTTGAGGAGGGATGCTCACAAAGGCTTGACTCACGAGAGTTGTGGAGGAAAGCGGGGAGCCAAGGGAGGGACCGGGAAGAGAGAATCACTGGCTGATTCCCAGGGATGGCACAGGGCAGGAGGAGAGAGAGGAGACGGACGAGGAACTGACAATGGTAGGATCAGGGAGGGCGATGATGAGCTTTGCCAGCTGGAAAGAAATGCATGGGCAACCGATTCCATGCGGGAAAGGAGATGCGGAAATGACATGGGGGACGTGAGGAGCGGGCCAAACCGGTTGGGAATGCAAGGAGGGGAGAGGGGAAAGAAAGGAGACGGGAGGCACGAGAAGTGCAGTTCAGAAGAAAGGAGCATATGAGTGGACGAGGAACGCACGGAGACCAGGGGACGGCGTGGCAATAGGAGAGAATGGGAGACGAGAGGGATCATCATCAGCAGGTGCGACAGTAGAAAACAGGAGAGGCCAGACGAGGAGGGAGAGCAGGTAGGGTGGACAGAGATGGGGGGAGGATGCAGCATAGATGCGGGGAGGAGATGGGTTCGGGGGAGCATGCTCAGCTCACATGCGGTAGCAGCGACGGGTGGGGAGAGTCCAGACGAAGGACGAGCAGAGGAGTGGGGAAGGGGCCCATGGTTCACTTCACGGCATACGTGGCTGCCCGCATGCCCTCATGCCTGCATGCCCTCATGCCCGCATGCTCCCAGCTTCTACTGCTACGAGGCCTCGCGCACATAACCATGACGGCTGGCAGCATGCAGCGTGCAGGTGTTGCCGCAAGTCGCCGGAGTAGAGGCGCGAGAGCACAGTCGCAGCCACACTGCAGTTGAAGCTGCTGCTAGGCTATTCCTGGCTCGCCATTGCTGCTGCGGGGCTCTCCTTGGCGCATGGCGGCGGGAATGCGAGGAGCGCTCACGAACAGCAGGCAAGGAGGGCACACGCGCAGTTGGGGGGAAGGGGACTACGACTGAAACACGCTTTGAGACTCCGCAAGGGGACTCGCGGAGCACTGTGACCTCAGGAGGGGACGGCAGGAGGAGCGACGCGCAGCACGCAGCGGCGGCCGGCTGTCTCGAATACAGACTACTGTGACTGCTCGCTCGAGCGCTGCGCTGTCGCGACGGTGCTGCTGTTTGCTGCGGCTGTGTAGCTTGCTGACAGAATCCTTAGGGTAGGAAATGGAGGGGGAGGCAAGGAGAGACAAGTGGGCGAGGATCAGGAATGGTGAACGAAGTAAATCTTATGGCAGAATACAACGAAGGAGGTGGGCGAGTGAAATCTGTCAAGTCAACGTGCTAATATCGCGGAAGTGTTTGTTTCAGGCGGAGAAATGGAGCGAACGCAGGGGATGTGGTTGTTGGGGGGAGAGGGAACGAATGGCGAGGTCAGCGCGTGCTAGACGAAACGGATTACTCGTTTACCCAAATCGTCTGCTTCCGTGGAGTTAGGTTGAATCATTCCGTCAATTGCTTCTCGAAGCCATTCTCTATCGCGTACTCGCTGGCACCTCTGGACCAACTCTCTCCATCCACCCTGCCCTCAGCACCGACTTTTCTGCAAGCATTTAGAGGTGTCTACAAGAGAACACATGTTATGAATGGGACTGCCGAGTAGCGCGGAGGGCAATGGCGAAACTGTGAACGAGTGAATGACAATAAAATGAAAGACAATACAATATATAGAAAGCCTAGGGTGATCCTGGACGTAGGATCGGAAGGTTCGGGAAAGGTATCGAAGGGCCTCGATGTGTCGTATCGAGGTCCAGAAAGGCCCAGGAGGCTCGAACTGGAAGGTCTGGAACCCTGGCGATGGTTCGGGACTGTTCGAGTCGTACGCCTTGTAGCACGCCTCAGTAAGGAATTACGCATTCCTTACACTCTCCCCCCTTCTAGATAAGCACACAAATAAATATAACTACACACACTCTATCTGAATCTCGTAGTAGCGAAGCCACCACTGTTGAGAATCTCGAGCTTCTTCACGGAAACTCCATCCAACGGTCGAAACGTGTCGAAACGATCGCGGTCGATCGTAGCCGTCGAAGTTGGGTCGAATTACCCAGATAACCAAACGGGCAGTAGGGATACTACCGCACCACAGCTTCCTTGTCTCCAGCGAATCCTTCGCCGAGAATTACAAACCCAACCGTCGTGTACTGTATCCGCACAGTAACACCACGATTATTCACACTGCTGCAAGTTGGCGAGCCGAATCCTCTGCCTGCGCCAAACTTGTCCGTAGCTCCGTAACTGTAGATCGCTCCTCGTTTAATTCCACGTGAGTGGTGATACTCGCGGAAACACGCGTCCGTATCTCGCAAAGTCAACGAACTCCAGCTTTTCGTCAATTGCGAGGTCATTCGCGACACATGCAAGAACACGCGTCCGCGTCTCACGAAAGTCAGCGAAGTCCATCAGCACAAGGACGAAAACTCAACCCATCCAGTAACCGTGGTCGATGTCGCTTCAGGCGATCAATATAAACGCGCCCTAAACTTTCGCAAACTCCTGCGAAATTCCCGAAATGCCAACTCGAATCTGTCCGTCGATTCAGTCGGCCGAACAGCATCTGTCAGTCGATGCTCATGCAGCGGATGTCAAAACTTGTGGAGGGAAAATCCAAAAAACAACTGCTGCGCAGCTGCTCTCTCCCCCCTCCATGAGAAGAAAATCTTCTCTCGTTGAAGCCGAAAATACCCTGCTTCAAGGTTCTTCAGACCTGAAACAATGAAGTATCTTCAACCTTGCTCATCGGGACCAGTCTCAGCGCGACCCTATAACACAGGGCAGCTGCGCCACGAAGACTCTAGCTCCCGCCGACACCGTAGATCGATATTCTGCTCCGCAGAATGCCGTCGATCTGCTTCGTGTTGTTAAACTCCGAAACTCCTCCTGACCGGTTCACCGTGCAGAAGTTCACCCATCGCGCGGCGACGGCAGGTACCCCATAAAAACTTGGGTACAGTTATCAGCTTCGAAAAACGCATTCTCTGCAGTTTCACCGACTAACCATGCTGGTATTTAAACCTTTGCATAGCTCGGTAGGTACCCGTGACCCCAAGTACCGCTCCAGCCAAAAACTTGAAGAATTCCCAACCGGCAAATACCCGACGTTTAGCGACGCGCCGACGTTCACCCATCTTTGCGCCCGTCCAGGTAAATCCCCGAATCAGTCCTCGCAGCCAAGTCCTCGATTATAGCCCCGCAGCCCAGGAATAATCCTAGAAGACTCCCGCGTGACTCCAAATTTTCCGTGACGGCAACATGTTTTTCCCACTGCAACAGTAACCCTTGTCTTCCTGAAGCTCCATTTGATGAATACACTCCAGAGCAGGGGTGACTCCGCCGTATGTCCGTACTCAGGTAAGCGCAAACGCTATCGTAGTTGGGCGAATTAATCAGTCTAATTCGCGAGCAACCGCTTTGCAGCTTACGTGAGGGATTCTCCTTCCCCTCCCTGAAAAATTCCATTTCTGCAACAATCTGCTCCAAACTGCTGCAATTTTCTTCAGCTGCTGCTTCCACGATAAAAAACCCCCGTAGGCCGCTGTTCACTCAGCGCCCACGTTCGCCATCCTCCAAAACAGTACCGCGCACGTTCATTCGAAAAACTCGCAGTTCCGTCGTTCTCAGCGACACATCCTCGCCGTTCGTATCGGACTCGAGCTCCGCGTACCGTCCGATCGTTGTCGCAAAACAGCATCGTTATTTTCGTTAATCTGCTTCTAGCGCCTCCCACTGTAGAGCGTCCGATTTTCACCAATCGTGCACCTGTCGTGTAGCGCCGAAAAGTTTTCTTGATCGATCCACCAGCACAGGGTGTTCCGCAAGCTCATCCTCCTTTATTCGTCCAGGAGCGGTCGATAGCATGTAGCTTACTACCACCCGGTGGAGATGCTGAAAATCGGGCGAACCAGCCAAGTTAGTCGGGAGGATCCGTTTGCCGCTGACTCCTTCAAATTTCCCGGCTGTTCCCAGTCGTTCTCCTTCTCTGCTTCAGCTCTTCGTCGTTGACTTTTAGCGGTGACCCGGCGAATGACACTTAAACTCGATCCGAGGGTGGTTGCTGGTCGTCTTCCGTAGATCGTGGGGCATAATTTCTGACCACGAAAATGGCTTCCTCTGCGGGAATCCAGACTCGCCGAGCTCGAAACTCCAGGGCAGACGAATTACACCTCCAGGTGGGCAGGTCACGCGAATAAATTTCGAGGTCAGTACTCCCCGAAACTTTCCGTGCCTGAGCCCCACGTGTGCTGCCGTGCGATCCTTGGTCGTGCCGAAAACTCCAACGCCGCGTTTGCTGAACAGTTCCGAAGTCCCGTCTTCACCTGCGTGTCGCCTGCCGGAAACGCCGAGCCGTTGACATCAGCTACACTTCACCATGCAGCCACGTCTGCTACACGTGCTCCTGACGAACTCCATTTCGCCTGGGGATATCCGCGAGCTTGTCGTCTCGTGACGAGCTCCTCGCTCCATTCGGACACCAATCCGAATCGTCGTTGCTGCTTGCCGAATTTTCCGAACCTGCAACCGAAGACCCTTTAACGATATGCGAAATGAACAGCATACCGGAAACACTCTTCCAAATCTTCGCCATGTCAGGACGGACACAACCGCCCTCGAGGGGATTGCCGAGCGAATCCTGCTCGTCCCTTGGGGTCGGATCGACGGTCTTCAGAAGCCCACGCGAACGCAGTAGTTGAAGCATATCGTATCATGCTTCAGGACAACCGCCGTGTCTTATGTAGCGCCATCCGCCTTCTCCCCCTCCTAAAAATAAATTGCCCTCGGAAGCCCAGCGGGTGAGGAAAGTGGCTCTGAATACCGAGTGTTATGAATGGGACTGCCGAGTAGCGCGGAGGGCAATGGCGAAACTGTGAACGAGTGAATGACAATAAAATGAAAGACAATACAATATAAAGAAAGCCTAGGATGATCCTGGACGTAAGATCGGAAGGTTCGGGAAAGGTATCGAAGGGCCTCGATGTGTCGTATCGAGGTCCGGAAAGGCCCAGGAGGCTCGAACTGGAAGGTCTGGAACCCTGGCGATGGTTCGGGACTGTTCGAGTCGTACGCCCTGTAGCACGCCTCAGTAAGGAATTACGCATTCCTTACAACACAATTCGCAGAGTAACATTTTTAGAAATATTGGGTTACTTTGACCATTCAAGGAAAATGTTCGAGGTCACTCTGATTTTCAGAGTTCCGATAAAAATCACTGCCAGATTTCAGGAATAGCAAAAATCCAAAAATCAGCACTGCTGGGGATATGAGATGGATTGGATGGGTAGCGAGGGTGTCGGAACGCGACTCGAGGCGGTTTCGGCCGGCAATTTATGTCAAATTATACATATGTTGTATGTAGAAGTTATAGGCTAGCCTAGGTGTGTGCTTCTAGTGAGTACAACCCCAACAGGTATATGTTCTAGGTTTCTCACACTAGTCAATCATTCTTGCATTCTAACATGGTATCACGAGTAGGTTAGGTCCACCCACCCGCTTCCACCCGCGCCCTAGCCTCTCGCCCCCCCCAGCTAACCCTAGCGCCCGCCTGGCTCGTAGAGCTCGCCCGGCCCTTAGCGCGCCCGCCTGGCCCCGCCACACCCACCTGGCCCCGCCGTGCCCGCCTAGCCCGTCGCGCCCGCCTAGCCCCGTCGCGCCCGCCTGGCCCCGTCGCTCCCGCCTGGCCCCGTCGCGCCCGCCTGGCCCCGTCGCGCCCGGCCGGCTTGTCGCGCCCGCCTGGCCTGTCGCGCCCACCTGGCCCCGTCGCGCCCGCCTGGCCCCGTCGCGCCCGCCTGGCCCCGTCGCGCCCGCCTGCCCCGTCGCGCCCGCCCGGCCCCGTCACGCCCGCCTGGCCCGTCGCGCCCGCCTGGCCTGTCGCGTCCGCCTGGCCCCGTCGCGCCCGCCCGGCCCCGTCGCGCCCGCCTGGCCCCTCCACGCCCGCCTGGCCCGTCGCGCCCGCCTGGCCCTGTCACGCCCGCCTGGCCTTGTCGCGCCCGCCTGGCCCCGTCGCGCCCGCCTAGCCCCTCCGCGCCCGCCTGGCCTGTCGCGCCCGCCTAGCCCCTCCGCGCCCGCCTGGCCTGTCGCGCCCGCCCGGCTCCCAGCGCCTGCCCGGCCTCTCCTAGCGCCCGCCCGGCCCCTCCTAGCGCCTACTCGGCTCCTCCCATCGCTAGCCCGGCCCTGTGGCGCTCACTCGGCCCCTCCCAGCGCCAGCCCGGCCCCGTTCCGCCCGCCCGGCTACTCCGGCCCCATGTCCTCTGCTCGCCCGTGCTGGAGCGTCGTGCAGCTGTCCTCCTGGAGCTGTCCAGCTGTGTCCCTGTGTCGCTGAGGAGCTGTGTCGCTGACCCTGCACGATGGCTGACTTCGTTCTCCGCTTGGACGCTGAGGGCCATGCGATCGACTTCGCCGCCTGGCTGTCCGATCTCCGCCGTCAATTCACAGGTCAGCGCGAGGATGGGCACTCCTTAGTTGTCCATGCTGATGGCTTGCTCCCCCGCCCCCCTGCGCCTGCTCCCCTCCCTGCTGACCCCACCTCTGCTGAGAGTGAGGCTTTCACTACTGCTGCACTTGCCAGTGCCGTCTAGGACTCTCGCGATGCAGTTGCTCAGATCGCGATTAGTCACGCCCTCCCTGTGTCTGAGCGTTCGCGTTTCGCTACAGTTGATACAGCCAGGGCTTACTTAGATGCTGTTGTTGCTTGCTATTCCACGCCTGCCTCCGCTACTGTAGGCCACCTACTCTTCCCTATGCTTTTCCCAGACCTTGCTTCCTTCCCTACAGTTGCTGACCTTGCCACTCACTTGCGAACCCTAGAGTCTCGTTACCGCACTGCTAGCACTGCTGCCCAGCTCACTGCGCTCCCCCCCCCCTTCTGCATGACCCTCTACTTTATCGCTATGCGCCTGCTTGACCGCCTTGCTAGTGCACGCGACCACATCCTTAGCCAGCACCCGGGTGACCTCACCCTGCCAGCCTTTGTCACCGCCCTGACCGAGATCGAGACTCGCCAGCGCACTATCGCTCAGTCGAGCGGTGCGCCGGCAGTCTCCATCTTTCACGGCTGTGCCCCCTCCCAGTGCACGTTTACTGACGTTTCGTCGCCACTGCGACTCCTCTGACCGAGACTGCAGCTGCGGTCCACCCGCAGCAGCGCTCGCGCCGCGCCGGTCGTGGCCGCCAGGGAGGGCGTGGTGGTGGAGCTGGTGGTAGTGGTGGTGGTGCCGGGGACAGTGGCCCTACCGAGGGGACTGCCGCAGCTAGTCAGGAGCAGCAGCCATCGCCCCAGCAGCAGGAGCAGCCGCAGCAGACGCAGTCGTCGCAGCAGCTGTCCTAGCCCCCGCCCTGGGCTCGTCTTCCGCCGGGTTGGCTCGGCACCTCCGTCGGTGGTGGTCGTGGTGGCAGCCCGCGCAGCTTGGCGTCTACTGGCAGCTTCGTTGGTGTGACCTACTAGTACCAGCTTCAGACCGGGCCTCTCCGCAGCACTCTGTGCCGCCACCCGCACCTGACCGCCCGCTGTTTCCGCCGCCTCGATCTCTTTCGTCGTCGCTTTGGCCCGGCCCCGGACCTCCCCGACTGGCACAGCCTGCTTCGCCAGGGCGTGCCAATCTTTGAGTTAGATATGGATCAGATAGGTGCTGCTTTGCATGCCTTGTATGCTGACGCTTCTAGTGTTGCTGGATCTTATTACCCTGTGTACTCTAGTTTAGGTGTAGCACCCTTGTGTAGCTTAGCCTCCCCTGCTGCGTCAGGCGTAGGACTGCCTAGTTTGACTAGCCTCGTTCCGGCACCGGCCCCATTCCCGGCCTCCGCTACTGCCTCGCTGTCCTTCACTCTCGACTTCGGTGCTTCTGCCTGTTACTTCCGCGACCGCTCCACGCTCACGCCGCTTGTTGCGCCTGCTGTTGTCGCTCTCGCTGACCCCTCTGCGGGTCCTGTCGTCGCTCGCACCTCCACTTCCCTTCCCTGTCCAGCCGTTCCCTCGGGCTCCCTTACCAGCCTCCACGTTCCCTGGTTCTCCAGGAACCTAGTTGGTGTCGCTTGTCTTCAGGACCTCGGCGTCACCACTACGCTCCCTGGGCACGAGCGGTTCGCTGTCTGTACCGAGTCTGTCTCAGGTACCCCTCTTCCGACGTTCCCCCGCGACCCGGTGTCCGGTCTGTTTACCCTCGACACCGCTTCCCCCCCGGTGGTTGCGTCCTCCCAGGTCGCTGCAGCTTGCTCGTGTCGGTCCCTCACTCACCCGTCCCTTTTGTGGCACCACCGCTTAGGTCCCCCTGCTCTCCCGCGTCTGCGTCACATGTCCCAGCACGGTCTTGTCTTAGGCCTCCCCGCGTCGCTACCCGCCCTTCCCCCTTCGTCTGCTCCACCGTGCACGCCTTGCGTCGAGGGCCGGCTCCGCCGTGCCCCTCACTCCTCCTCGCTTCGCCCTGCTACTGCTCCCCTTCAGACCCTGCACCTGGACGTGTGGGGCCCAGCCCCCGTCCTCGGACCGCACGGTGAGCACTACTTTCTTGTGCTCGTCGACGACTACACGCGCTACACCACGGTGTTTCCCCTGGAGCGGAAGGCCGACGTGCCTGACGTTCTTCTACCGTGGGTTGTGGCTGCGCGTCTTCACCGCGGTCTCCCCGTGTTGTGTCTCCACTCTGACCGTGGCGGCGAGTTCGCCTCTGGTTGGCTTGGCCAGTTCTGTCGTGCGGAGGGCATCACCCAGTTGTACACCTTGCCGGACTCGCCACAGCAGAATGGGGTTGCTGAGCCCCGCATCGGCTTGGTCATGGAGGTGGCTCGTACCTCCATAATTCATGCCGATGCCCCCCATTTTCTATGGCCGTTCGCTGTTCGCTACGCTGCTCACCAGCTTAACTTGTGGCCACGCTCCCAGCGGCCGCAGGTTTCGCCGACCCTCCTTTGGACCGGGTCCCCCGGTGACGCGTCTGCGTTCCACGTCTGGGGTTGCCTTGCTCACGTTCGTGCCTCAGGCACGGACAAGCTCACTGCCCGCACTGTCCCCTGTGTCTTCATCGGTTTCCCCCTGGACTCGTCTGACTGGCTGTTCTACCACCCGCCGTCTCACCGCTTCCTTCACTCTCGTGACGTCAGCTTTGACGAGTCTGTCTCCTTCTACCGTCACTTCCCTCACCGAGGTCTCCCGGTTCCCCCCCCCCTGTTCCTTGCTCCCTCTCCCCCGGTAGCCCCTCCTCCCCTCCCGCCTCGTCCTGCCCCGTCTGGTGTCTCTCAGGTCACTCCCCTCCCGTCGGTTGTCCCGGTTGAGGAGTCTGCTGACTCTGGTGGTCCCCCCGGCCCGTCCTTGCCGCGTCCCCCTTCCCCGGTGTCGCCGTCGCCGCTGCCGCCGCTGCCGCTTTTGACCTCTGGGGGTGCTGGCGTTGAGGAGGGTGTTCGTCCTGCGGCTCCTGGCGTGGTCTGTTCCGGCGGGCCTGGGAGTGCCGCTGGTGCTGGAGGTGGTTCTCGCTCTGGGGGTGCTGCCGTTGAGGGTTCTCCCCGCGGCCGCCGTGCCCCTGCCGGTCCGAGGGTCGAGCACCAGCCGCTGCAGCAGCCGCCGCAGCCATCGCTGCCGGTCTCTGCTCTTTGCCTGCTCGGCCTTCCCTCCCCTGACCGCTCGCCAGTGTCTCCGCCACCACCTTCTCACCCTCCTGTCTATGGCCCTGTGTTCCCGCCGCCGGACTTGTCTCCGGCCCGTCTTCCTCCGCGTTCCCCTTTTGTGTCCCCTCCGCTGTCTCCTGACCCTTACCTCCGTCCCACGTTTGGTCTCGGCGTCCCTCACGTGCTCGTCCTGTCTCCCTTGTCCTGCGC